CCCAAAGGGCTCTACTTTGATGATTTACCCCTTAGGAAACATTAAAAATATATCTTTAAAAAACGTCATTTTGGGGACCTGTGGTTTTCGATTTTTTTAAAATCCAGTTTTTGAGCTAGAATGCTCTTCTTCGAACTTGATCTGTCTTTTTATGATACCAAACGATCCTGAAAATCCCAGGTCGCTAGCTCAATTCGTTCTCGAGTTATCGTGCGTACAGACAAACAGACAGACAGACAGACGGACAGACAGACAGACAGACAAACAGACGCGAAACTTTTTGATCATCAGTGGAGTAATAGGCTTCGCTAATCGCTCAGCCAACAAGGATTGAGGATGTATGAGGGAGAAAAGTCACTCCAGAGGAAATGCTCGGATATTTATGTATGTCTTACTCAAAATTGAGTAGAGATTCAAATTATAACCTCTTCTTTTCTGGTTAGTTACGAGAGTCACTCCAGAGGAAATGCTCGGATATATATGTATGTCTCACTCCGAATTGAGTAGAGATTCAAATTATAACCTCTTCTTTTCTGGTGAGTTACGAGAGAAGATTTTGCTGGCAGGGCCATGTACGAATTCTCGTCGGAAAATATACGTCAAAATAATGGACCGAACCGACGAGAATCCGGCCATAGCCTAACATTCGCTGGCCACCTCGGCGAGCGCAATAGATTGTTTTTATGTTGTAAAAACGCAATTAACAATACTTCTTGTTTGTTCTAGGGACTGTCTGCATAGATGACTGGTAGTGTGTAATTCCTGTGTAATGCCAACAACTGGTGATGCCGCATCATACTATAGAGTCAAAAATTGATTGCATCAGATTAATGATTTGCAAAACCTAAAATGTACTTCAAGGTGATGTACTTGATAGTATCATTGAAGTGAGTGGGACAGGTAAGAAAGCATTGCATAGATAGAATTTTTTCTACTAATCGTCATTGTTATTCATGTAGAATATGTCAAGGCCATAATCGATAGGTTCTGCCCAATATCTCTCCAGTTCTTCCTGCTTCTTGGCCTCATTCGCCAACCTCAAGGCCTCCAACCAGGCACATGCCCCCTCGAACTGCCTCTCCTCGAGTTGGAACAATTCAGGATCTGTGAGAAAGAAAAGTATAAGGATTACAACAGTGTAACTGTAAGTTAGCAAGATTTGTTTTGTTTTATATGAGCTGAGAGTTCGAAGTAACTAGGTAAAGCATATAGCCTTCCTTGATTAAGAATCATGTATCGTAACTTTTTGCCCTGGAGACTTTTCTATGTGGACAGTTGCAAAAGTAAGATTCTTTTTCTGGGAAAATGTTACATTGTCCACGACTTAACTGAAACAAGTGTCTCTCAATTAGCCTAGTCATGATGTAAGAAGCAGAAGTGACGTATCATTTGCTTTAAACAGTAATGAACAGTGAAGAATCTAGTGCTATTATTGTTTGTTAGACCTTGTCCACCTTGCCTTTCCGATAGTCCCCAGTGAAAAGATAGGATCAGAGTGACGTCAATACAGCAAAGAGAATCTTTTTGACAATATGAGGTCAAAATGATGTTCAGCTACGGAACTGGTTCTAATATAGATTTCATGAGCTTCTACCAATGTTATAACAGGAAAATACGACATTTACCTAAATTGAATGGGCGCCCTGGCGTCCGCAGGCCAGGGCTTGGAAAGACACACGGCAAGACCAACGGTGCTGGCGATGGCGGCGGCGTCTGTGGCGGCGAGGGCGGCGGCGTGCGGGGGGTGCAAGGGGTGGCGCAGGGTGCAACGCAGCGAGCCGGCGACGTTGATGCCATTGTCGAATGTGAGTGTTCTGTCGTCATCCTCCTGTTTATATCGGTTCGTGAGAGAGCCCCTTCCCCCCAGCCCCTTCCCCCCTTCCCTTTCCTGCCCTTTTCCTTATCACTCAAACATCACTACCACCATTTCCTTTTCAAGGGAATATCTAATTTTCCTTTTAAATAACGCTTGAAGTACAAGTACAACTGCTGCTGTGATTTAACTTTTTTTGCTTTTGCTTTCAGAGAGCTCTGTGACTAGGAAGAAGCTGTAAAGCATACAATGGCAACAGCTCAAATCTTGTTGAGTCATTGAAACTTCAGTTGGTCATACATAGCTGGTGGCCTTCGAGTAATGGAGTGTTTAATGTTACTTTTTACTGTTCAATCTGCTTGCTTTAGAGGGTTTGTGAGATTGCATCTCTGATGTACGTCAGCAAAGGGTTCTGTAATCCAATACCTGTGCCTTTTGTGGCTCGCTTAGATTATTTAGACTAAAATTGTAAAAGAAAGGGTTTGATTGTTATAATGATTATTTGCCCAGGTGATCATTTCATATGTGGTACAGACCGCAACCATATTGTTCAAATGTTATAAATGCTCTAAACAATATTCTGTTATCGTATTGAAGATTTTATGCCATTAGGTGACTGAACAAAAAAATTGGGTTGCACAGAAAAAATGAGGTTTTGAAGTTTCTATAGTGAGCGAAAATAACTTCTCTGGGGAAAGGAGATTTGAAATTAAACATTGCACTATGTTGTAGGTTTTTGACTTTTTGTAATCATCAGTTTCAAAAGCATTACAAATTAAAGAAATAGTGTCAAAAGAGACTATCTTAAATTAATCAGAACTGAGTTGTAGTGTGTTGTCGATTCTCGCGACCCTGTCATCGAAACTAGGTCGTTTGAACACGCGTCATTTCGCGCGTTTGCAGAACGGGGGAAACAGGCACTTTAGCAGATCCCCTCTCCTCCTCCCCTTTGCTTATTCGCAGTACAGTTGCAGGTGAACAGACTGACATGGCAACAGCCTACGTTTGTGTGGGGCTAACATCAAGATCGCAATGACTGAGTTAAATATGTATCAGTCTAAGACGTAATGAGGAATAAAACCAATTGCTGGTCAACTTTGTCAGTTCTATTCTCAGTTTCATTCTCATTTGTTTGTTATTTACACAGGTATTGTTGTTGAAGGAGAGAGGTTAGGTTATTGTCCCACAAGCCAATCTTCCGAGCAATTACTGACTTGCCAAGTGGACCAATGTGTATGCGTACCCAGTTTACAACGTAAAAGCTGTGACTTGACCGCAAAGAACCAGGGCATAATTGGCCCAGGGTTCAGATGAATTTTAAGGTTCAGAATAACTTTCATCAATGAAGGTGTGTATGAGGCTTAAAGATTGTAACAAAGGGTAAAGGGAACCAACTGACTGATCAGCACTAATACTCTTTTATTTTAGGCCCAGGGACGCAGCAGGGCTCCACTGAAAACAACCAGCACATTGGTGACACTAGATTATAGAAGAAGTCAAAATTATGAAGCATAGCCTTTTTATCAATAACTAAATTGTAAGTGAAAATTATACCTAGGTCTTTTGCTGCTCCGCTCTCTTCAGCCTCCTCTTCTCCTTCATCTTCAATTTGTCGGCCGCAATCTTTTTGGCACTGGCCTTCTTGATGAGCTTTCCTTCTGTAACAACAAGAGTTAATAGTAAAATTGATCTCGATATTCAAGCATTGCTGGAGAGGAACTCACCGTCTTTCAGCCTCCTCTTCCTCTCCTTCTGCCTTCGTCTTTTTCCCAACTTCATCTTTTGCCTGCAAATTAAGTAGTCAATTAATAATGTTCTGTTCTGTTAAATAATTTCACAAAGAGGTAGGAAGAATGTACATACTCTTTAGTGAGTGGTCCTAACTCTTGCCTGTGAAACAAGAAATTATA